CAAATAGCCAACAGTACAAATTGCACGTTGCCCTGGTTGTGGCTGTTGCCTGAAGAAACGCTTCCGCAATGCTCCAATGTTGATCAGGTGACGCTGTTGGCCTCCCTTCTTCTTAGTCAGTAAGTCCCTAATGCGCGTGAAACTCACTTGCTCGCATTTAATTCCAGTGAATTTCAGCAATAGAGAAACTTTGATGGCCAATTGCTCGTGCCCCAAGTCTTGCCACGTAACCATCTACACGCCATCCATCATAAGTAGAACCAAACTGAACGAGAATCAAGACACTCGCAGCTTTATTGCTATGCATTATGCCAACAATTTGGTGACTGAAATGAAGGAGTTGGTCGGATACAATGTGACTGCTTTCATTGCGGATATTGGTGGATCTTTGGGGTTTCTTCTGGGTATTTTCGCCGATTTTCCTTTAACTTGAATGGATCAATAGCGGACTGTTTTCCTAGGACTGTCCGTGGTTGGATTCATACGGGTGATTGAACGAATCGTGTGTTCCATCATCAAGACATATTACCAGAAAAAGAAGAAACCTGATGAGGAACAGCGCTCAGAAACGCAGAGCAGTAGCAGCAGCAGCACCAGCAGCAAAAGCACGAAAATCCTGCACACAAATTCATTCGGCAAACGTAAACCGCTTCCCGATAACATCAATTTGTACGAGAATCTGCAGGATTTTGAGAGCGATGATTTCAAGTACTACCAGAAGACGTTGATAGCTGAAAGCAGCAACAGCAGGTACTAGGTGAATACAGTTTTTATTTATTCGCAAAAACATTAAATCCAATAACAATCCAAATTGTATGTAGTCATTAATGCGAATAGTTGCTTTAAAATAAATCCTATTTACACAAAGAGACGAACATGTTATCTTCACTTATACTTCTTCAAGTCGTATTTCTTCAAGTCGGGCGGAGCTTCGCTGGGGGTCACTTTGAGGAGCTGTTGAAATCCTCCACAGAGTGTGTCCAGTTGGGACACCATTCTTAGATTTGTATCAAATTTGGTCAGCACCTGAAGAAATAAAGTGTGTGACTAACATTTAACTGGTACAAATCTGGGGCCCGATAAGGAAAAATTGTATTATAAAACGCCTTATGATGTAAGTGGGTAAAGTTATGAAATATTTTATTTTTTATTGGTAGTACTTTCGCTACCGAATTACAAACTTCGAAATTATTTCCAGACATTTTCTGTGCCAAGTTTGCTCATAAACATTTTTTTCCAAACTGCTAAGTTTTATCACTGTCGAAATGAAGTAGTTGTACTTTTACCCGCGGGCTTGGGGCAAATATGTACGTTTAAAATACTCCAAAAATTTTCATTTCTGTGAAGAAAATTGGGTGTTGGTTGAAATTGGTGGAAAATGGCTGATTTTTCCGTTTAGCTTTTAAAAATCGGATTCCAGACACTTTCTGGACTTTTAGATTCAAGTCTCTTCTGTCGACTGTGGAAATTTTAAGTTTCTAGTTGCTTCGACCGGAAAGTTAGGATTTTTTAGAGAGAAAAAAGTGCATTTGCGTGTAAACGTTCATTTTCAAACCAACATTTATCACGTTGTCAAAAATCAAGCTTCAGTGCATCTTGAATGAAATTTGGAACATGTTTAGATTCAAGTTTCTTCTATCGACTGTTATAGTTTCAAGTTGTTTCTTGGGCCAACTGCAAGGTTAAGATTATTTTAGAGGATAATGTGCATCGTGTGAAATTGTCCATGTTTAGATGGTTAAATCAAGTGGTTAAAAATTGAATTTCAGTGCAACTTGAATAAAAGTTTCACGACGTGTAGGCTCAAGTGTCTTCTGCAGACTGTGCAAGTTTGAAGTTGCCAGTTGCCCCAAACGAGAAGTTATGATTTTTTAGAAAAGAAAGTGCACTTGCGTGTAAACGTTCATTTTTATATCAGCATCTACACGTTGTGAAAAATCGAATTTCAGTGCAACTGAAATTAAATTGCTTTCGTTTTTAGATTCAAATGTTTTCTATTGATGGTGAAAGTTTCAAGTTGCTTCTTAGGCCAACTGCAAAGTTAACATTTTCTAGGTGAGAATGTCCAACCGCGTTCAAGCGTCCATTTTTGGACCACTATTGATCAAATGGTTAAAAATTGAATTTCAGTGCAACTTGAATAAAAGTTTCACGACGCGTAGGCTCAAGTGTCTTTTGCAGACTGTGCAAGTTTGAAGTTGCCAGTTGCCCCAAACGAGAAGTTATGATTTTTTAGAGAAGAAAGTGCACTTGCGTGTAAACGTTCATTTTTATATCAGCATCTACACGTTGTCAAAAATCGAATTTCAGTGCAACTGAAATTAAATTGCTTTCATTTTTAGATTCAAATGTTTTCTATTGATGGTGAAAGTTTCGAGTTGTTTCTTAGGCCAACTGCAAAGTTAACATTTTCTAGGGGAGAATGTGCACCCGCGTTCAAGCGTCCATTTTTGGACCACTATTGATCAAATGGTTAAAAATTGAATTTCAGCGCAACATGAATAAAAGTTTCACGACGCGTAGGCTCAAGTGTCTTCTACAGACTGTGCCAGTTTGAAGTTAATAGTTGCCCCAAACGAGAAGTTATGATTTTTTAGAGAAGAAAGTGCACTTGCGTGTAAACGTGAATTTTTATATCAGCATCTACACGTTGTCAAAAATCGAATTTCAGTGCAACTGACATTAAATTGCTTTCGTTTTTAGATTCAAATGTTTTCTATTGACGGTGAAAGTTTCAAGTTTCTTCTTAGGCCAGCTGTAAAGTTAACATTTTCTAGGTGAGAATGTCCAACCGCGTTCAAGCGTCCATTTTTGGACCACTATTGATCAAATGGTTAAAAATTGAATTTCAGCGCAACTTGAATAAAATTTTCTCGACGTGTAGGCTCAAGTGTCTTCTGCAGACTGTGCAAGTTTGAAGTTGCCAGTTGCCCCAAACAAGAAGTTATGATTTTTTAGAGAAGAAAGTGCACTTGCGTGTAAACGTTCATTTTTATATCAGTATCTACACGTTGTGAAAAATCGAATTTCAGTGCAACTGAAATTAAATTGCTTTCATTTTTAGATTCAAATGGTTTCTATTGACGGTGAAAGTTTCAAGTTGCTCCTTGGGCCAACTGCAAAGTTAACATTTTCTAAGGGAGAATGTGCACTCGCGTTGAATTAAAATTTCAAAATGTTTAGTTTCAAGTCTTTTTGGAGGCTGTAAAAATTTCAAATTGCTAGTTGCTCCACGCAAAAAATTTGAATATTTTAGAGGCAAAAGTGCACTTTCAATCCATCAATCAAGTCAGTTTTATCAGCATGGTTCTCAGGCATATACAAAACATTTTTCAAGTTTGTGTAAATTTCTACTACCGCTTACCTTCTTAAAAACAGGATACAAATGCTCCAAAGTACTGTGATCCAATGTGGGGAACATATGGTGGAGCGCATGGTCTCCAAAGTTGGTCAATACCAAAAAAAGCGACCCACTAATTTCCTTCCTTTCCATTACCGCGTCCAATTGGCTGATGCCCCAGTCATAATCCTCTTGAGATCTAGAGCAACATTTCTATCCGTAAAACTCGATTATAAGTTCTTGGTGCTTGTTACCTTGGCTGATCACCATCATGGAAGATTTCTGGATGATGGTGAGCAGCATGAAGACCGACGAAGAACAAATGAGTGCTTCCGATAGCAATCACAAAATTCCACATAAGAAAAGTGTTTAACATCGACTGGCCACTGAAGAGGTACATGAAGAGCGGAAGGGTAAAAGCGACGAGATCCGTCTTTTTTATATGGTTTGTGCGGCCGTTGATCAACTCAATGATTCTGAGGAAAAACAGCCCTTAAAACCCACATCAAGAGTAAATCCATCAATCTACCTGGTAAGTAATGCTTTGTGGAACCCAGTAATCCACATAAGTGGAGCAACTAACCACTGGCCATATCGCCGAATGGGACTCTTTTTCACTGGCAGATATTGAAGAAATGGAGCCCAAGAGGATATTTCATAATCGTCTATAGTATTGGTATGCATATGGTGGCTCAAAACATGACTAATTCTCCACTCCCTAAATGGGACAAAACTTCCAAAAAAGTCCTGGCTTGGCGACATTTACCTACCTCACAGTCTGCAGCGAAAAATTAAAATAATACATTCGAAAGTTATCCTTTTTGTGGAAATAGTTGTGGGCTGCAATGCTTAAAAGGGCCAGAACATGCCCAGACATCCACCCTAGAGTGAAACTCCAATACTTGGCGGCCAATGTGGATAGAAGGAACAACACGACCAAAAGCGAATCAATGAGCAAGTTGCTCAAATTCGATCTTTTAGGAAGAGAAGGCAAAGTTTCCACAATCTCCTTTTTCAGCGTTTTGTAAAAGCCGTCCTCCTTAAAGGTAAAGGGCGCATTTCTTCTTTCCTTGGCGTTCCTCACGAAATACTTTTTTAGGACTTGAGAAGGCTGGTTAGTCAGGTGGTGCACCTCAAAAGCTTCGGTAATGTCTAGCCCCTAAGACAACAACCGTGCAAACAGAAGATTGATATGCATTCACTTTCAGTCTTACTTTACTCAGTTCCAGCCACTCGGAGCCTCCAGGGTGTTTTTGAATAAAATCGGTTAAATCGTAAAGTCCATCGTGCACTCTCCAAAGGCCTTCAGCTCTATCTATAGCCACTTTATCCTCTAACCACATGTCTACAGTTTGATTTTTTGCTCTTCGAGGTGGCGGAATGATCCCTAGAGTGGATGGAGGAATATCTGAGACGTTCGGCGGCATCTTTATCTGAGGAAAAAAATTATTTCGGTTCGCTTCTCTGCATTGTATTTATTGCGTTTTTTTTTTGTGATTTTAAGCAATCCAATCAAAGGTAATATTTAGTAGTTATACAGGACCTTAGTTCTATCGATATTTTATAAAGCAGAAGGAAAAAAGCGGCACAAACGCACATTGCAACACCTTGTTTTTTTTCTTAATCCGTAAACGTGTGAAACTCCCTGTATATTTCGCTTTCTCACATAATAAGAATTCAATATTTATAAATGTAAAGACGTTTGTCTTCCAAATTGAGTTGGAAATACAAAATATATATATTTTTTAAATTTTGAATTAAAATAAATTAATGAAAAATTTGAAAACCATATTAAAAATAAAACGAATTTATATAATACACCTTACAAATTTTCGAAATAAATAACAATAAAAAATTATAAACATTAACAAAAAATCAATCAAAAAAAATTATTGAAACATTTTGATCAATTTTAACGTACCACTGATTGGTCAGTTGATCTTTGAAGGATAAATCACAACTAAAAGCGCACTTGCAAGTAGCCAATGGCACTATTAACTAAAGTGTTTTTAACAATTAAATATCTACTCGATAACACTTTGACCCTAAACTTGTTTGTTTCACATCCCAATATTAAAATGCATCATTTATGTTATTTTAATTTAATGTGATATTAATTATATGTGATGTTATGTTTTAGATAAAAAATTTTCAACACAATTATAGATATGAATATCAGAGGTTTAAATATAGTGCAAATACCAAGATAGCGTCCTATTAGTCAAATGGAGAATTAAATAAATAATTTATTACTTACTATAGTTATATCTAAAATTATATATAATTTTAATAGAAGTATCAAGGGGTTTCAAATTATTTTTTAGCAATTATTATCATTCAAGCAACAATCTGGTATTTTTTGAAATATAAATAATAGAAGCATTTATTTAAAAACCCACAAAACTATTGAACATAAAAGTTTCTTACTTTATGTAAATATACATCTTTAAATTCGAAAAATTTTACAAAATCACCCTATTTATGAATGAATCAGTAAACTGGACTTTTTCACTATAAAATTTTTTTATATCTATTTTTTCATAAATATTTTTTGCTTCAAATTCAGAAAAAAACTCAAAAAACTTAGTCAGTTAGTCATTACCTCAATCAATTACTTTGCACAACTTGGCAACTTCATTCTATTGGCAAAAGAAGACTAGGGAACTTGGATGTTTGAGGTTACATCGCTATGTTTATTGTTTATTTAGACAATGTCCAATGTTATTGGCGTTTGTTTAATATTTAAGAATGAAAAAAGGGCAAATACATAAAATATACTTTCGATTTGATTCAAATTATGAAGCTGCTGTACTTTCAGCAACTCGTATTCAGAACTATTTTTATTTTTGCGTGTTACATGGACATAGTCAGTGCAAATGAGGAGTGTATTCCTTTAAATGTACTTATTATACAAAAAGTGGAGAATTTAGGATTTCATCGGTAAGAAACACGCAGTAGAATATATTTTGAAAAGTTAAAGAACATTAGTGACTAAATCTTATTAGTTATATTTATATTTACAAACACTTGAAACAAGCAAGTTTGTGTGGATATTTTGTGCATATAATTTCAGTTCTGTTGAAAACCTCGCTTTAAATCAACTGCAATTATCTAGCATTCACCTTAAAACCCCCTTGCAAGTAGGTAAATTTTATCAATTTACGTTAAATTCACTTTTGTCGAAATATTTTAATTCATTAAGTTTCAATGTGTACTCGATAGATTCACGTTGATTACACATATTAATAACTGGGATTTTGTTGTTGAATCTAATCCAAAACAAAAGTTTCAAGCTAATATCGAATTATCTGAACTAATCGCTGTTTGCTCCATTTTTTGCCATTGCGATTATTTGTAGCATGTCCAAACTAATTCCAAAATATTTACATAACGCTTATCACAAAATAACTTCTCCTAATTATGCAAGTGTATTTGTATGTGAACAGATTATAATGTTGCTTAAACTTAGTCGAATTGAACTGTGAGGCACATCAGCGGTCATTAGAGTTATCTTTTCCAAAACACAACTTTTAAACAAATATTTATTAAGCATTTGCTAATTATATGCCATTTTCTACAGATATTTTTAACATAATATTTTGATAATTATGCGTTTGTTCTACGGGGTGTTGCAGTGAAATACTTTTTGCAGAGATTTGAATTGGTTTATCGAAACCAGGGATCTCAATCCCGATAAATGGCTAAACTCTTCTTGTAATGTTACCTTGAAAATTGATGTGGGCAAAGGAGTTTTCGTTAACCCCGATCAGGCCGATGACTTAAAACGCCTTGGAAAGGTACCTGCCTACTTTATTTCAGATTAAGTTATCCTGAAGCTCTGCAAATTGAAGATATTTAAATTGTAAAACTTTTTTTTACAGTTGGATATTTTGATCAATGGAACGGTGGACGTCGAAGTGCCGGCTCATGAAGGGAAAAGCTATAGTGTGTATATCTACTTAAATCGTACTGAATTTCTCAGGTCAATAAATGTAAAGCTGCCTATTCATTTGAGATATCAGCGAAGCCTTTTAGGAGGGTAAGAACAAAAACTCAATTTACTGAAAAAAACTGTTTTAGAGCTAAGAATGTGTTTTCTTCCAGTCATGGGCACGTCACCTTAAGTAAACCGCAACTATTAGTTCACTGTCCAGGGTCGAATAAAATAATTTGTGGAAAAAATACTAAGATTATGGCCCCGGTAAGTTCAGAGGAACCGAACAATATCAAAGTATGGAAGAATGTCTTGTATTATCAAGGGGTGAGAATAGTGCAAAGCGCCCTAAACTTACTCTTACTCAACATGTTTTAGGAATTGGGCGTCATGGAGTTAGAAGTGCCGATTGGCAACCTGAACGACTATTCCTATGTGTCAGTCATCACTTGTATTCTTGGATGTGCAGGCTGCATTTATATAATATCCCTGATGTCTGCTAAGTGATTTCATTCATTTCCATTTAAAATTAGGCCCACACTAAGGACATCTAAATCGTCCGACACTTTAGCTCAAAAACCTAAAGCCGAAATGCATTCATTAATAGATCTATCAATTAAAAATTGATTTTATTGATTAAAACAAGATTTTGCAAACATTTATCTAGTCAAACTGTGAGAAAAAAAAATCGCTGATTTATTAAACACTTTGATTCACAGTTTTTCACATTGTTAATTATCCCTGCCTGAATGCCATGAATCCTATTCTCGCACTTTTGTACATACAAAATTAAATTATTGCCTCATTTCTAATACACAGTGAAATAATACAACTGGTTGGTTTCCAATCGGGGTTTAATTCACTCATATTCACATGAAAATTCTAAATAATTCACTATTAAATCAAACACAACAAAAATAACAAAAACTCAAAGGGTTCAAATACCACAGCGTTCAGTTAAAATCCGTCAAACGACCAAAACTAGATATTTCCAGAAAAATATTTCATTGCAAAATGCAACAAAAATTCAAAACGAATGTTTCTTAAATTTGGCAGGTTTGTATTTGAATTTAAACCTTAAATGCAACAGAAAACCGTAAGAAAATCAGCAATTTGTTACTCTGGCTTCTTTTTTAAGTTGGACTTTTGCCTCTTCAGTTCTGTCCTATTGATTTCTCGGATTTTCTTGAATTTACTCGTAATTAAAAGCAGATTTGTTACATTCACTATATAAGTGCCTATGCAGACCAAACACAGATCTTTCAAGATAAAGTACAGAACGTACATAAAGTATAAAGAGGCGAAATTTGATGAGATTATCAGCACTAGGGAAGCAGTCACTGTAATAGGCGAATTTACCAAACCTGCAACAAAAATTAGTGTGGAGAAAACTTGCAATTATGTGACTATTATAGTTTACTTACTGAGGGTTGCCACCATGCTGTAGAATACAATTCCGAAGAAGCTGTTCGGTTTGTTGAAGATGGAGTTTTCTCCAAATATTCCCAATCCTTTTCCATATCTGAAACAACGATGATTATAGTTAAACAACATTTTTAATCTGAGGCAAATCATGGCTTTGCTAATATGAATGTCCAATTTGATAAAATTGATACTCACGAAGAACCAAAAGCCTTTGTGCAACTCATGTGAGGACTGATATCACAGTACGGTTTATAGTTCTTGTTGCCCTCCATCGCAAGTTCCACTGTATAGGAATATAAAGAGAGCCCCAGTCCTACTAAACAGAAGAAAACAAGTAGTTGGTTGTAAGCCCATAGTGAAAACTGGTTTTTCTTGTCCAGTTTTGTTTGTTCACTAATTGTTGAGCGCATTTTTCAACGTTCAATTTGCGTGCTATTGATAATTGAGTGGATTTTTCTGAATATTTTTAAAATGTTTATTTGAGGAAAACAATTTGACGTTCACGACCAAAAAGCGAGGTTATAAACCACAGATCATAGTACACGCCACAGATGACACACAATTTGAAGCAATACTTTTTTCGCCCCGCTTTAAAGAGATATCTTTTTTTATTGATTGATGATACAGAAAACTTCTTTACTGTTTGTGTTTTACAAACAACAAACATTAGCGGTATATTTAAATTTGCTTTAGACAGTCAACTATTTCAGCTTGCTTCAATTAAATTTAAAAAAATAAGCACGACTACTTTTTGTGCTTTAATTGTGCTACAATTAAAGCACAAACAGTAGTCGCATCTGACTTCTGAAACGAGAATTTGTGCAATGTGCGTAAAAATAATATTAGTTTTTGCAGCAAAACATAACAGTTAATTAATAAATTCGAGAAAGTCTCTTGTTAGATCCCAATTTTGCTTCCAAACTTTAGGCAAAAGTGTTGAGGCAAACATGTTGAATAACATAATTGAAATCAAATTGAATCAATTGGAGTAAAGTGAAATAAATTTCATCACTCATTTTAAGTAGGTGAAACCTTTAATATCTACAGTGTCCCAAAATAAAATTCACTCTCCGTCCATTTTCAGATATAAAATCAATGGAAATTGTGTGGTGCTTTATGGCGCGTGATAAACCAATTTTAAAAGTTTTGGGCGTACACTAATTTGTGATACATAAAAATATTCCCGTGGCCAAAAATAGTAGAAAAAAGGTCACTAAAAGCAATATGAATGCAATTGAAGTAATTAAGAAATACTATAACAAACAAATCGGAAACTGTTGGGTTTCAGGTTGCTTAAAACCACATACACGAGTAATGATTTCACAGTCTGCAAAAAACATAGCATTAAATCGTTAAAGTGCGGAAAAATCAATTATGTATTCGATCTGCATCGAAACGCAACTAAAAAGCTTATTGTGAAAAGAACTTGGCGGCAAATATTCATCGCATTAACAGATGTTGAGAGCACCATAACAAATGTTTAATTAAATCGAAATTACCGACATTAATATATACGCATATAAAAGCAAGGATATCAATATGGTAGACAAGTTTTTACTTCGTCGCTTTGTTTGCTGGTTGTGATTTCTTTTTGTTTATGTTAACGTGTATTCGAATTGAAAGTTGCTCAACCATTCATAATAGGTTCAGTTAGCAAAGAAAGTTTGCACGTTATCGTTTCAGTTCTGTGCAAGAGCGATTATTAATCATTGATTAATGGTGTCTAGCGTAAATGTTGTGAATTACTGCCTGTGTTTGGTTGGCGAAAAATTGGCCAATATTATTTATGGGTTTTGGCTAGAAATTTTTGCACAATTTAGATAAAGCTTTTTCAAAACTATTTACTTTAGTATATTCCCAAACTTACAGCAAACGGCTGGGCATTTACAGAAAATTGAAAAATTCTAGTCATCTAATACAGTAAAGTCCGCTTATAATGAACCCGGTTATAGTAAACTTTCGGTTAAAACGAACTTTTTTCCATTAATTGAAACGTCGTCCATAAAAACCAACGGAGTTGTTTATATTAGTGAGAGCGAGAGACAGGCAGTGACTTGTTGTTTTTTGCCGCGTTATGTATGTAAATCGTTTTAGAATGGAAAAACAAAAACGCAAAACTTTTTCACTAAATGAAAAGTACGAGTTTCTTAACAAAATAAAAAGTGGAGTAAAGCAAAGTGACATTTGTAAAGAATTAGCACTTGGAAAGTCTACTGTTGCAACAATATGAAAAAACAGAGAAAACATTTTATCAGCGTATGACAAAACAAATGTTAGATGTAGGAAGTTAAAATTATCTGCACATGAAAAGGTTGACAAGGGACTTATTCAGTGGTTTACTCAAAAAATACAAGAAAACGTTCCCATAATGGGGGAAATGGGGAGTAAAATCAAAAACAAAGAGTTTGCTTGTTCTAAAAGTTGGGAAAAACGTTTCAAGAAGAGGCATAATATCAGAAGCGGAAAAATTGTTGGAGAGTCTGCCAGTGAAAAATTCTTCTTATGAAAACGTTAGAGGCGATCGATAAAAATGAAACATTTTCCATAAATCTCTTAGATGCAGGCAATTTAATTCATAGAGCTTGGCAAAAAGTTAGCCGAAAAACCATTGCAAATTGCTTTAAGCATGGGGGATTTGTAAGAAAGGAAAATGATTAGGACCCAGACGATGAAATTCCATTTAACGAATGGTTATAAAAGTATAAAGACTCTGACTACGAGTATGACCCAGACGAAGATGTCCCAATGTTGTCGAAGAACAAGTTAAAACCAAATTGAGTGATTTCAATTTCTTCGAATATGTGAGCATTGATAATGGCATTCTTACAAGAGAAATGTTGACCGATGAGCGAATTATAGACTCCGTAACCTCATCAACAGCTTTAAGCGATAATGAGAAAGATGACAATTTAGGTGAAGCGTATTCTACTGTAGACACTAATGCTGTTCCAACCATTTCTGAAATGACAAAAAAAGTATCAGAAACTCGAAATTTTCTACAATCACGCCAAGTTCCTAATCATATCTGGGAGTCCTTTTGTGGCCTTGAAAACTGCATAAATAACATCTATTTTTGCAGCAGAAATGTACAAACAAAAATTACAGACTTTATGAAGTAGATTTCAAATTGAATTTTGATTATCTTTTTGTGTTCTTTTTAGTCATATCTACTAACTTTTACTACTCTATGGAAAAATAACGAAATAAAATACACCACCTGTTTTTGTATTATTATTCGCTTATAGCGAACTGCGGATATAACAAACCAGTTTTAGTTCATTTTTCAAGTTCGTTATATCCGGACTCAACTGTACGTTTTTGTTCAACACGCGTTATTTCCCAACTGATTAATTCGTTGAAAAACATGCTGGGTACAAAATGGTGAATGCAACCCCGTGTAAAAATTTAGTTTTTTACTAATTCTTTTACAAAGCATGTTGCAGGGTTTTTTTCGACACAAAAAATCTGGTAAATCTTCCAATCGCATTATTAATTCCAATGAATATTTATAACGGAGTTTTTTCGTCATGCAACAGTAACAGAAACAAAGGGAGATATAGGAGAGAGGGAGAAATAAATTGAAATAGAGTTCTGCCTAAAAAACTTGTTCTTTCGACAAAAAACGAATTTGGGTTATACAATGTACCATGTGTATGTTATTGGAAAAAAATCGTCATTTTTATACTACTATACTGGTAATAAATAATGCATTCATTAATTATTTTGCCGATAACTGGAAAACGGTGTCAGATACGAATACGAAAGAAATGTCAGAGATAAACATTGATCGGAGCAGTAGATAAAAAACGCATATTTTAAGTCCGTAAAATGTGTTTGAATGCAAAACCATAGTTGGCTTGTTATGAAGCGGCTCGAGATATTTGAATAAAAGTTTGTAAGCGCTTTTTCGCATTAAAAAAGTTATTCTTAGTTTTCTGCCAGTGGCGTCCGTATCAACTGGTCTAAAAACGCCACTGTTTTTCCATCAAATAAAAACCTGTTTTGGATTTTTCCATCAATTTGAAACTGTATAGAAAAAATTTATATACAGGGTGATTCAAAATTGGCGTCATTCCTTTTAAAGGGTGATAGAGGCTCACTTGGGAGTACGAGAAAAATATAGAAAATTGTTTTTTAGAAAATTTCTAGAAGATATTAACAGTTGAAGATCAAATTTCAACTTTGTTATTAAGCATTATTTAGAACATGTTCCATGTTTAATTTGTAGCATATTGGAATACTTACGCATTCAAAAAGAAAAATTACGATATTTGCTTCACATTACGAAAATTTTTTAGATCAAAAAAGTTCTATTCTACAATTTTTTGATGAAAATGCACAGCGGCAAGGTTTTTTTTGTGATTAACAGATAGTTACAGGTGGATAGCCCTTGTTAGTAATAACAATAATTTGTCAAACTGTGACTTACTTTGAATTTCCTTTCACGAATTTGCGGATATGCGCTTAGTTCAAGGGAAGTGCTACAGTAACATAGCAGAAGCTGAAATAATTCAAGTCAACAAAGGGCGAGGAGAGTCGTTCCAGGAAGATAGTGGACGATAGATGTTCGGGTTCCAAGCACAGAAGAACACACAGCACAAGGAGATACAAATGGAGTTGGAGTTAATTAACTGAATACGAGAAGCTGCTTGATAAGAGTAGCTAATAAGGAGATTACACAGGCACTAGCTTGTTTGGAGTTAACCATTCAAATGTTTGGTGTTGTATGGTTGATTTATAAACACCAATATTCGAGGTTATGAGAACAGGTTGACATTTCGTCAACAAATCTTGTTGATTTTACCGTTTATCCTTGTCTATCTTATTGTAAGTCTGTATAACTCCATGGCTACCGGAGTTGTAAATAATTACGAAGCCACAGGTATTTGCGCAATGTTAATTAGGCAGATTACCTTGAAAAACATTGCTGCCGTATTTCTGATATATATTTTTTGGAAATTTCTCAGATTTTAATAACAATTAATTTATTTTACTATTTTTTCTGTACTCCTATAACAGCGCTCCTATAACACCTCCAGAGGAATGACGCCAATTTTGAATAACCCTGTAGTTTTTAAAAGCTGGTTGCGATGTTGTTAGTGCTGCTCATGGAAAACTAGGAATAAAAGAAAAATGTTGTTCAAAAATTGCTAAAAACTGGGCTTTGACAAATATCCCAACGGTTATCGGAAACCCCTGCCCTCGCCGACTTTATAAAAAAATCTCAAATAAAGAAAAATGCACTGCGAAAAAAGTGCCCAACAATGCGTCTTAATTCCCTACTTCAAACAACATCTAGCGTCTAGATCAACAGGGGGTAGGGTGTCCTTATTGAACCTCATAACCACCCTATTTCAGTTCTTTTTGTTCGACCACCCGACCTCGGTTTTATTCTGGCCTAGGGGTCGGAAAACGGCCTTTCCATACAAAAGTGCGACGGCAACGTCGCCAACATTGCCTAGTTCGCACTTCCAGCGTCAGGCGGCGCGTGTGTAACGCGACATTTTACAGTATTGACTGTGGTCGGACCGTTGTTGTAAATATTGTTTATTTTCGGGTTTTCCGCGTTTTTTTCGTAAGTTTTGGTGTATGTTGGGTGTTCCGCGGGGTGTGATACTGCCGGTGCAATGTTCCGAGTGCCAAAGAACTAATGGAGACAGCTGTAATCCTGGTTAAAATTCCGCCATCGCCAAAACGAAAGCCTCCTCTTGACATGGCAACGATGGTTCGCCGCAGAGCGAGTGCCTTTATAGAATAGCCATGGAAATAGAGGTAAAACAAAGAAATAGAAGGCGAAAACGCGCTCAGCGTATGCAGCAGGAATTAAAAGATACACGTGCTAACAAGGCGAATGCCGACGAAAGTGAGGCAGAGGATGTCATCCCCAAGAAACCCCCACGACCCCCCAATCGAAGAAAAAAGCAAAAGGACCTCCTCAAGGAGCTGCTCTGCGAGGAGGACATCGTTGAAGGTTTCTCTATTTTACAGTTCAGATCCTACGAGGACTTGGAGGTAAATTTCCTGAGGGGTTATTGGCCAAATTTGCATGTTCCTGACAGAAACCTTACTCACAATGCCAGTCTTATTACACCTACTTAACTCCCAAGAGGAGCAATTCATATTTTTCCAAGTAAACCATCCGTCGTAACGGAACTCTTGCAGGGTGCTTAAAGTCCTTTGTCTGGTAGGGCTGCTCCACATGACTCTCGCACGTAGCTGCCCGATGGCTTTCGAGAAACTCAATCTTTTCAATTTTTCAGCATGTTCTCTATTTCGCACCATTATCACAGCAATCAGCTGATTATTATTGTTCTATTTTGCTGGTTCTAGCAAGTAAAAGTGACGATTTAATATGAGCAGGTGCTAATCGCTAGCTTGTTAGCTGGTATATTTCGGTTGATGTGCGAAAATCTGCAAATACAAATGCTAATGTACCGTTTAACTTGCCTTTGAGAGTTTCCTCTGTGGGTATACTTTAAAAACCTTTATTTAGACTCAAACTATTACATTGTTTTTCTAGTTTCTCATAAAGAAACTCAATTTTTTTGCGAATCATTCTTTTCTTCCATTTATAAAAAAATGTTTCGTCCAATTTAGCAAGGCCAGAAATTTGAGCTGACGTTTTAAAATGTAAGTTTTCGGACATCCGGTATAGATTTGTCTTGAACATAAATTTGTCTTATGCAAGCAGTCGATGAGTCCTTTGTGGAAAAAAAATGGCCTGAATAATTTGTTACACGATCCTACAATTTTTTAAAGTTTGTCTTACAATTTCCCATTTGAATTGAAAGGGTTCTCATTTTATATAATAGGTATCCTTCACTAAACTTACCTTAGTTTATCTTGTCGCTTTGTACAATTGAAACCAATTTTAAAAGGTGGCCCGCTTGAATATTCGTGTTGCACCAAAACTTGGGTTCAAAATATACCTAATAAATATTTTTGTCATGGGATGAAGACTTGGATAATGCGGCACACTGTACATTTAGAAAGCGCCACTACTTTAGATAATTTCATAATATGAAATTTTTTATTAATTCGTTCGGTGTAAGTGCTTTGTTACCGATTAACATATTTTTCTCAGTCACTGTCGCATACAAAAGAAAACTACAAGAGTACATAAATCAATTAATAAAACTCTTAGCAGCAGTAAATAAAAAGAGCAACCAATAAGAAAGATGTGAGAAACAGATTAATATTTTTGCGATTGATGCTAAACGTGGTCTAACTAATCTTCAAACAGAAAATCTTGACATTAGCTTTTGGCAAAAATCAAACAACTTGTGTTGTCCATATATTATAAGAAATATGCTTTGCATTGGAACTTCAGAAAAAGTCCTCTGTGAAGGAAATTTGTGTTAAAATTAGAAAAACCCACCTTCATGCTGATGTCATTGCGCAATCCTTATCTTGTTTAGAAAGTAAAGCATTGATTGCAAAATCTGTCTGTCTAAATCAGCAGAGAGCCTGAATAACTTTGTAAATAGTTACAAAGTTTGCTATGTTTGTCCATGCATATGAAAATTTATACTTGGAAGAAGAGTGTGCATTTTTCATATAGCTCATGTCTTGACTACATTGAGAAAAATATTCGCATACTCAATATGACATAGTAAACGGTCAAAGAACTGTTGGTTGTGAAGAACTGAGTTGATTATTCATCAACGAGTTTTTAACACGATTCTTCCCATCACTACTTTTTAAATCGAATAACCGCCAGAAATGCAATGCTGGCAAATTTCCTGAATAAATCATATGATAAGTAGAACGAGCTCGTGATATTTTCTATTATAGAACCTGGAGAATTTTCCATCATCTTATACACTCTCAATCTGCATTCACAAATGTTTCGTTTTATTGCCGCTTAACCAAATATTTTCTATATCATCTAGTCAAGTTGTATTTACAGTATTTTCTGAATATTCAATATTATACAATTTTAATGGGAAAATGTATAAAATCCAATATTGACTGTAAGTATATGTAGAGCTTATAATGTGTATCAATCATTATTTATTAATCGATTATATCATCAAACTACGACAATTCCATTCAAATCAATGTAAAAAAATTATCCTACAACAATTTCATTGACTTTTTAAGATATATTTATACTGTTTTTTTCATGATAACTAAACACTGCAGCCAATTGGACGGACTCTTATCACTCCTACAATTACGCAGATAATAAAGAATTACAATTTAACAAGATTAAATTACTTCAAAGATAAGAGTTGAGATTAACATGCGATGAAAAAGGCCAAAGGCTTGCATAAAAAGTGCAAGTCTGCATATTAAAGTTTTGTACTTCTAGACTCCACTTTCAAATAATCTCTTTTTTTCAATGCAATCAATTATTTTGTAGGTATATGGAATTACGCACGTATATGGACTTTTCTCTCAAGTGGCATGAACTAAACTGAAATTTTAACTTAAATGAGATCTACTTTTATAAAATTGGCCCAAGAAGAAAAAAGGCCCAGTTAAATTTTATCACTGCAAGACGATCAAGTCGTTTTTTTAAATCACCCTGTAAATACAGCAGATCAGTATATTTGGATGTTGACAAACAAATGAACATTATTTTGAGAAATAGTGCTCTGTTTGATTTGCCGCCCTGCAAGTACTTCATTTTTGCATAAACACGAACTGATTGGACAAAGAATTGGAATAAATAACGCTTCAAACAGCAAATTAAATTTAATTCGCTGCAAATAATTAAAATTTATCCAGTTGTTCCAAAGTTAAGGCAAAATTGGCCGTGTATCGTTTATTTTGTGGAGCACTTTATTAATTTTCGTTTCTGACCCATAAATAACACCCGCATTTGTTATGCAAAGATCGAAATTTAGTTTTAATTAATTGATGTAGTTATAAACAAAAGAAATGCGTTGATGTACAAAATGGATATTGCTTTGCACAGTCAGCATTTTAATTAAAATATTTAAACTAGGGCACCGCAACATACCTACTGTGGTAATCGATAAACCAGCTTGAATATGCGGATTAATTGACTGAACTTTGAAGATTTTTATGGTTTTCGCAAATTAAGCCTTGATGACCAATCACTAGCTAATAGAGTGTCACTCCTATCACATTTAATTGGGGGTTTTTCAATTTTTCTAATCCTAGTTTCCTTCAAGAATTTTTTTTCTTTATTAATTAACTGATATTCAATAGTTAATAATGAAGACTAATCCCACAGTAACATATTATCGGTTTCGAAGCTTGGATTTCGTGGGCGCCAATTAATTGGTGGCTTTAGCAACCTATAAATAAGCCTCATATGCAAACAGCAACCCATCAATTTAATTCTGCAGGAATTGATGTGAAGGTGGAAAAATGTTTCATAGTTTTTCAATTAACTAGTTTAAGTAAATGTGTTGCATTTGACTAATAATGTGCGATTAATCGCCCCGCAGCAGAGGAAGCAAGAACACTACTTGATACCTTCAGAATTTATGGCCCATGATGGGTTTTCAATGTAAATATTTTTATTAGATTGCATTCGAATTTATGTACGAATGGTCAATATATATAAATGAAGTCACATAACAGAACCTCGTAGATACATTCTAGTATTGTGTAAGAAGTAATGGAAACCCGATATGCCAATATATTCAAAGTAAATGTTAAATATGTACGTAATCCTTCTAAACATGGCTTCACGGTAAATCGTTGTATGTTTTATACTAATTTTGGATGTTTTACTTCCTGGAAATGTTTTTCTCGATTTTGTGTTTCTTTGTTGTTTTTACTGGGTGCGTTTTAAAAAGTTTTCAACCGCTTAGTCAATTTAGTCCTGGCTTTTTTTGAAACATTCTCAATCACTTCATCAATCATTCAAATACACTTTTACTACTATTTTTTAACTGTTTAACCATCTGCACTCTTTAAACGTTTTTATTTCTATATCAACAGATAGTTTTCCTTTAAATGGTTTCGTAATGGAGGTTTTCCAAGTACAAACGGATCTAATCTGTATGGGCGCAGTTTTCGTGTTTATTCAATTAGACAATGTTTATCTTTACACTGTGGCATGTGTAGGGGGCTTGTCTAAGAGGGTGTTAGTAGATATTAAGCATGAGCACAGCCCGAATATTAATTGAATACACTTTCATAATGAATGCAATTTTCATTTTGCGTCTGAGCTGGGTCTGCGAAGTTACTTTGCATTCCGCTTTACAACAGTTCCTTTCTCATTTTTTAATAATCTTCTCCACACAACCTGGAATGAATATTGATCAGCTTCAATTTGCATCGAAAAAGCTTTCCCAACCTTTTCTGCGGTGAAAAGAAAATTAAACTTTTTCCTCGGTGTGGGAAAAGCCGAGATTAAACCGGAGATAATGTCCCACGGTGGGAAGCAAAGTTAAGTTAACTAAAAAAGAATTTGTTTTCAGAGGATATTTTGATCATGAATTCGCCTTATAAGGGTGATTTAACGCCGCTATTTTGCAGACTTTGGTGTGATGATAATATATCCTTTTGGCGGGTGATCTCTGAAAGTTTAGAATAGAGCGTGCGAGAGGACATGTTTGAGGGTTCACTTGTTCAACTGAACAATCTTATGTTGTTAATTGATTTTTTTCAGATTTGTTGCTTTTATTTAAGAGCGAAGTCAAGATTTGCAAGAAAAGCAGGCTCCTTTACACCTCAGTCGAATCGATTCGTTCTAGGAAAACGGTTTTCACGTCTTAATGAAGGCCAATTCGCTGGAATTAGCCTTTTATTTGGTCGTAAACATTGGTCTTTATTAGCTGAAAGGGAGATGCCAGTGGCTGCTTTACCTGGATCACGTAACTTCCAGTGTAATTTGTGTTTTAATCAGTTGCTTAATCTAATTTATAAGTGTGTTGTCTGATACACCACTGCGTTCGTTAATTGAAGTGAATGTAACAGCATTTACTTACTATAAAACATTAGTTTTAATCGCCACTGTTTGTATGCATTATATCTTTTTATTTAGCGTGTGTTTTATTTATTAGTATTTGCTATACTATAAATGTCACGAGTTTTTAAGTGAGTGTTGAACTTGTCTGATTTTGAGATCCGGGCATTCGCTTCAGTTTTGTGGTATAAAATGTTAATTTGGATTATAGGCGGTTTATTTTCCACTTTCATAATAATTTCGTAAAAAGCGTGTAACAACACGAGACAGTAAACATTATAAAATCGATAGAGTTTTTGAGTTTGAACTCTTAAATGTAGTTTGAAATTTACTCGGCAACTTTCTTAAAGTGAAATAATAAGGGCTCTAGAATAAACTTGTAATTTGGGGGTTTTTCGATGTTCTCTCGAGCATCAAGATACAAGTCGTAAGCGCCTTTTTTCAGGAGTTAGTATGAAATATTCCTAGTTGGTTCTGGTTGGAGCTGAAAGTTCAGGCGTTGAAAAAGGCAGCAGAAGATTTACATCGGAAATAATCTGCATGTTTGTTCAATTTGTAGCAGTTTTTTTGAACGATTCCAAACTTTAACATACTGGGAACTTTCTGTGCATACTGGGAAGCTCGTTAGGCCGGAAACAATCCATTGACCTCAAGAAACACGCATGTGAAGGGTGTGATAGTCGATTTTTTCGAAAAATATTAAGTTTTTCAAAATGTTCAAGCTCTACACGAGGAATTTAAACAGCTCACTGAAAAACACGAGGGAAGCTTCAGATCGGAAATAATCGAAATTTTTGGCTTATTTTTTTTGAACGATTACACGTTTTGGTCGGCGATATCTTCTTTATTATGGAATTAAACACTCTTATATGCACACTGGGGAACGCCGAATCTATCCATTGAGCTAAAAAAAACAGGCGTGTAAAATTTGGATTTTTCTCCGAAATTTTCATAAGGGTGCGGTCGATTTTTTCAGAAAATATTAAATTTTCAAAATGTGCCAAATTCTACATCGATTTTATCAAAAGGAAGCGAGGAATGTGAGAAGCCGCTAGGCGCTTCAGATGGGAAATAATTGACGTTTTTCACCAGTTTTTAGCGGTTTTGAACGATTCGAAACTTTATCCAACTATATCTTCCTTCCAAAATTTTGGTCGTCGATTCGGTTGATCTTTTTCGATAAATATTAAGTTACTCAAAATGTCTCGAGGTTGTTGAATGTCTCAAATTTCGTGCTAGAAACCCACCAATTATGTATTGCATGCTCTGCAATTTTTTGCAGTTTACCAGCTCAAGTGCTAATCAAGTAAGTTTATGTGCATTTTGCATTGCATCCTCGTTGCCAATCCTTTTCGTAGGTTAGTTTGGCCATTAATATCAGTGTGTTGCCGTAATCTGACAACCGGACTCGGAATTGTAAACTGTTTTATTCAAAAAGTTTAAATTGACTGCAGAAACGCGAACATTGTAACTTTCTGAGGTCCCAGTGGACTCGCCAGGATTTGCGTATTTTATTATCAAATTGGGAATCCAGGGGCGTAGGTTTTCATTTTACGGGAATTTACTTGATTTTTTATATCATTTTTTAGTGGGGCCAATTTACCCGCAAAATAGTGAAGATCTAAGCCCTCAGGTCACGAAGAGTCTCAGAGAATTATGAGGAAAAATCACGAAGTCATAAATTAACATGTTATTTTGTGAGCTCTGTTTACATGAAAGGGCTGTTTTCCTGATTCAAGCCCTTTAAAAGGGTTTTATTTGCTTATCACTGAACGCTGCTATTATCGGGCTTCTGAACGAAAACGGTGAACGGTTTCGATTGTTTAAGGATCTCCGAGAGACAGTGATAAGATTGCTATGCTATTTTCTACTTGATTAGATCGGCTTTAATGACATACTAATTGCTAAAGCGTGTCGCATGTATCAAAATCATTAAAACGCGTTAAACGATTAGGCGAAGAGAAATTTAATGATTTACATCCGCGATCTCTACGCTTGTTAAAACCAAGATGGACATCTATAATTGAGATAAGATTCAATCCTGCTTGAGGACTGAATCAATGGGCTCCTTTTAGAGTAGAAGAGTATTTGCTACTTTCATACTCGTACTGTGTATGTGTTGGTGACATGTTTCGAGGGTAAAGTTGGTGCTATTTCCGTTCAGCAATCTGCACAAAAAATAACTAATGGGCTCTCAACGCTTTGAAACCAGTTAATTTTCTTCTTTCTTTGATTTTTTTTGGTAGGGAATGAAGCACGGAATAAATTGCTGAGGATCCAGAAGTTTGTAAGCGGTGTTACAGGCTAGACATTTTGCAGTTAATTTACGGATTAAATTTGCCAATCCCGCCAGTTTTAGCTCATTTCCAGCAACTTCAAATTAAACTTCTGCATGACGCACACCGTTTTCAAATGATTTAGACATTCCCATTCGTGAGGCACTGCATATATTGCATTTAGCAAAGAGCTTTTCCGCTGTTTGATTCGTAACTCGAAGTGTCGTTGAATTTAATTGGTTGGTAGGTGTCATCTTGGTAGAAATTATCCAAATGCGTTATTTCATAGATAGGGTTTAGTTAATTTACTAAAACTATGGTAAGAAAGAGAGGATTAATTTTTAAGCAAATAATCACATACACAGTGTTTCGCAATTTGCTTCATTCAACAGCTTCTATATCTGATCTGATGTTTTTATTTCTGGCGACTGGCTAGATTGTTTCTGTCCACAGGAATATTTGCATTCTATTCGAAGTGTGTCGGAATTTTATCTGTCTTTTAGAAAGTGCTTAAAAGTGAACTGCATTCACTGTTCTCCAGCTCCTGATTACTCGGTAATCCACTCAATAATACGCAACATAAATGAACAGATTGATGCTGGCCAGCGCTCTAATAATTAATTAATTAAGGCGCATGTATGTTACATAAACGAGAAATAATGAACATTGCACGGCGAAGAGTAAAATTCGCAATTTTAATACTTTTCACTTTAGTCTAAAATTCCTAAGGCTTTTAAGTAGGTCTGAAGCAAATCATTTTTTTAATTACGTAAATTTTCTTTATTAGATTTCACTGTTTGTTTCTCTACAAATCATGCGTGAAGAGCATTCTTACTGTTATATTATATAAATGGTTTTCATCAGCGCTGTTGAGTCTTACAAAAGTGATCAATTATTGACACTCTGCTGACCCTTTTCCGCAAAAGCACATGTTACAACTGACACAGTTACGGTAAATTAGCGAATGACCCTATCAAACCGAATACAACCCATTTCTCCCTCATAATTCGTCCACTAGGTAAACCCCAGAGTTGGTGCGAGGTTTCACTCATTCCTTTCCAATATCACCGACGCCATTAAAAGGGGTTTCAACCCCTTTTCGACTATAGGGCAGCGCAAATATAAATAGCCCAAAGTTTGTTCCTTGACTGAACGGACTGAGCTGTTTATATTTGTTTTTGGTTATATTTAGAAATCAAATATTCACCCCTGTTTTGGGGGTGATCATTTCAACAGACACCAGTCTCATCTCGTGTGCCCTGAAATTTCCTTTAACAAATGATGTGCGTGTTTGTCCGGGTATTTTGATTTGCTTTTTCGGTTCAGAGCTAATTTTCCCTGAAAAGTTTTCAACCAGCAAATAAATCAGCAACAAACGGTGTCATTGCTCTATGAGATATTTTGTAGGTTTCTGTGTGTCTAAAACCCAGATATAATCGTTTCATCAATCTGTTTGCTAATCATCCATTCATGACGAATTGTTTTGAGTTGAGCGTCCAAATAAAAGACCCTAATTTAAAGCTTTATTTACATCGTTATTGGCAATCAAAGCGATGTGCACCGACATGAAGAAAAATGGATCGAATGCGCCGCGGAGACAGCAAACAATATCAGATCGTCGCCAAATTGAAAAATGATGTTGGAAATATTTTGAAAAATGATCCTTTCGGTTGGTGTGGGCAAATCCCTTGCGAGAAATTGAATTAAGCGTCCCTTTAATGTTTAAATTATTTTCCGTCCGTTTGTGATTGATTATTTTGAAATCATTTTGATGCTCAATTGGCAAGAAAATGACCAAATTGCGCTCTCGGCTTGTTCCTCCTTTGACCCCTTGGAGTTTCTTCGACTTCTTCATTCTTCAATTCATTACCTATCTTGAGCGGTTCTTCTGGGCGGTCATCGTAAAATCATCAGCTGAGTGGCCACAGACCTTAAGGGTCAGTGCCCCTCTTCTGTCCATAGAGGATAGTTTCAAGGCTGTGCAGTCGGATTCCGGTGTGAGACTGTGGCCAAACTGCCCCAATTTGTAATCTGTATTGCGAAAAAAAAATTTGTAGTTTTTTTGCATGCTGCAAAAAATTGCGAAAAATCATCAAAAGTGCTTTTGAGGACGATTTGTGTTTTGTTGGAGCGAGCTGAATCTGTTAAACGTTCACTTTTTCGGGTGTACTTGCCGTGGTCAAAAACGAAAATGTCTTAGATGAACTGGAATGTTTCTACGAAAATTGAAAAATTAAATTTTGAGCGCAGCAAAGTATCTCTGGGTTGGTTCATTTTGCATTTAAGAGTTGCTTGGTGCAGATGGAATAGCCAGTAATTAAAATATGCCTGCAAAATTGTTTTTTTGGCGCAATTTAAAATTTCTGCTTTCTTTCCAGTTGGTGGTGAAGATTGCTGCGAAGGATGGAATTAAACGTCTTGTCGAAGTCGAGAGACCCAAGCTCGAACCGAAGGCCCATATCACCAATCACATTTTGGTGCACAACAATCATAATGTAAGTAGATGTTTTCCTATATCTTGGAGGTTTGAGTTATTATATATTATTTCTTTTCCTGGGCTCCAGTTACAGTGTGAAACAAAAAAAAATGTATATCGTTTATTTCGTTACGTTTCGGCGAGACAACAGTGCCATCATCAGATTTTAAAATTCATTCAAACTCATAATTGGTAAACATTATATTCATTTAGGTCTTTGCYSRGCAAAGACCTAAATGAATATAATGTTTACCAATTATGAGTTTGAATGAATTTTAAAATCTGATGATGGCACTGTTGTCTCGCCGAAACGTAACGAAATAAACGATAAACTTACAAAGAAATTTTGTTTCACACTGTGACTGGATCCCAGGAAAGAAAATAATATAATAACAATTACACGCAGTCAGGAAAATAAATCAAAATAAAATTTGAAGTTTGAGGCAAAACGGAAGGGAAACAGTCATCGAAAATCGTTTTACGGCCATTCAGCTAATTACGTTTTTCGTGTTACGTAGTTCAATTATCTTGCACACGTGCATGTTGAATGCATTTTACAGCGGCAATTAATTTTGATAAATTACTTTTCTAAATAAAAAATAATTTCTCACTACTTATTGGTTACCGACCGATAATTGAGCTGCTTACTTATATTGAAGCCCAAGATAACATTTCAAAACGTGCCTTTAATGTCAGCGTAATTTTTTTATTATTTAGTATTTCTGGCGGTGATAAACTAGCATTAATTTGCTACATCTGCGTGCATGTGGCTTATGAAATTGATATTTTATGGATGAGCTGCCAGTTCCGAGATTTACGATTGCAGTTATTTATTAAATTTTTATTATGTTGTTACGCTATTTCAATTACATTCCCATATTAATTAATTGCTTCATTTACTTGTTGTTTCAATGGTAATTTGGCTAGTGGAGCGTATTTCTGGGGGTTTTTTATTTGCAAGAAAAGGTTTATTGAGAGTGAATAATCAGTCACTAAGCTAGCTCGCCAATCTTTCTTAAATTTCTGTTAAATTACCCAGATGTTCACTGGTGGCGAACTTTAATCCATCCTAGCATCTTTAAAGTGAGAGAAACCTTTTTAAAGGTAGTAAAATTGATATACTGAAATGTTTACATTTCTTTTTTTACTTGGAAAGCCCAACTTGGGGTGTATATTTTGCGGACTCCCACAGAAGAATTAATCAACATTTGGGTTTGGTTTACACGACGAATATTGTATTGCGGTACTAAGCCGACTAAATGCCAAATAGATCTAATCTTTTCATTGATAGCCAGTCGCCAGAAAAATGAATTAATCGCTTTTGACAATATCGTGTCAAACACTATCTAGGCAAGCATGGAAAAACACCTGTTTCGCCACATGGTGCTGATTGTTAACAGCTCGGAAATAGCTACTTACCACTCGAAATGTATAGAAGGCACATGTTCATCAAACAAAAGCGTATTGTCCCTGGAATTACCGGCCTGAAAATCGGCAACAATCATGCAAAATTACATGGTTTACATTATTACACGAATACCATGATCATTGTTTGTTAGCATTAAGGAGACGTTTATGAGGTTGTTCGTGATCAAAGAGGGTTGATAACTGTCTTTTAGGAGGGCGTTAACATTTTTGAAACATTCCGTTTCACATCTACATTGTCTTCCTCACTGCGTCCAGCTTGAGGATTAATTTTAGTTAATTGAGAATGCTTTATTTCATAAAATTTGCATAAACTCTTATCATATTTATCCGCCCTGTTATCAATATAGCACATTTTTAAGATATGTAATGCAATTAAATTCAACTTTGCCAAGAAATAAAGCTTACATTATTGTGAATACACTCCCATAATTTAAATCAGAAACGTGGGAGATTTACATCTTATTTCACGATATCATTTATGTTATGTTAATAATAAACAAAATGAAATAATCGGCGTTAAATAGATTCATATCTTATCGTCGTTAAAGTTTTATTCAATTTTTCTTTCCAACTGCGGCCATTTTGAGTGAGCAGCTTTCGTGTCTGTGTCGTTAAGCGAGCCGTTCAGATCGCTATCTTTACGTTTTGACGATTATTCTAACAACGCTTTTATGTTAATTGAGTCGAATAAAAAAAAGTGAAGCGGTAATAAATGGCGAAACGTCCAAATAATAAACTCCGAGAATTTATGGGCTACTTATTTAACACGCACGATGCATTCGGTGTTAGGGATCTACGGCGAACTCTGATTGTTAGTCGCGAGTTTATAATTGAGAGCTAGAGAATGGAGGAGTTGGGATCTTTAAAGTCTGGATTAATATGTTGGAAACCGTATCTTTTAATTAATTCAGATAAAAAAGTTGGCTTTATACAGTTGAAGCTGCTTGCATCTCAGGGGCACATTCAGAAACTCTGCATTTAGAGCTTCAAGAATAAAGGAAACATTCAATAAATCGAAAATCTACCCAAGAACGATTATTCAAATCCTTGTTGGCTCTCAACATCACGATACCCAAATAACTTCTTTTTAACGTTATGGTGTCGATATGGTAATTCCCCATTGGAAGCTTAAGTGCCAAATAGCCTGAGTGTTCGAGATTAATAACAGCCAGGTAATAAAATGTTGAGAGATATCTGTTACAAGCCCGTATCAGATTGCTTGACATCTGGTAGCTTGTTTAACCAGAATAATCGGTTCTTATTGGTGCGCTCCCAGGATTTATGCCAAACTGATAATTACCTGGGGAAAACGCCACGTTTTTCGCTTGCCGTTAGCACATAAAACATTGACAATGACATGAATTATATATAGGTAGTTTAGTATCTGATTCCACATCTATTTTCAATGATGTGACTTGATAAGGGTTGGCGATCGTACTAGGAGAAACACTGTTAAGCGCTAAAAAATGTTTTACAAATGTTTCTATTAATGATTTGTTTTTTGCTCTCAGGTCTGATTCTCGTGGTCGTCTTCAATTTTCATTATAGATAGATATTTACTTGATAAGATGATTCTTGCGTCTTGTTTTCGGGCGTTTGCCACTAGAATCAAGAATTTATTCTCATCATCTCTTTGCGTCAGTGTCTTCTTTGCAAATATCTATTTTTTCAACTGTGCAAACGACTTTTTTTACAGCATCTCAAATTAAGACTTCGTCGGTAACATCCGAACAAGAATCATGTAAGATAGTGCAAGTTTAGAGGTTGGCCAACCTCAGGATGAGAGCTAATAGTGCCGAACCTGGAAACTTTCACTATCTTACAAAGCATCTCAAATGTTTCCTCCCATATGGATCTACAGTATTTTCCTTTTTTGTCGTTTACATGAGTTTGAATATTATCAGGTCAACGTTCGATTGCTGCATTGAGTGTTTCAGAACAAAAGCATTTCAATAGGTATTTTTAAAGCTTTTACTGTGCCTTTGATGTGCAATTGTCGTGTTTCCAAATGCATTCATTTGACTCATTAGGAAATGATTTCCGCAGCAACACTGCTGATGGAATGGGAAACCAAAACACACATCAGCATTTCCACGAACATAAAACAGCCCGAGCACGCCGGAAAAATAAACTAATCAGAGAGTATTTGCATGAAGAAAATACGTTTTTCATCAAATATTTAATGCGAGCAACGATAAAATTATCGCTGGAAATTTATGAGAATGATCCAGAGGCCTCCCGGCCAATTTATTATTCGAAATTTATTTTCGCTTGCTCCGTAATTTTCGTTAAATTGAATTCTCTGAATAGGTCAAATAAACCGAATTAAATTAACTATGCCGGCTATTTGAGAGCTTCGATGTGTTTAGTTTTGTTTGAATTGTGGATGGCACTCATTTAGGATTATTGAAACGGGGTTTTCGTGGATTTTTGGCTTGATTTTTTATCGGATTTTTTCACATGTTTCCACACGACTATTTATCAAAGTGGTTTTTTCCGTTATAGTAAAAATGTTTGCAGCTGTCCAGGGGGGGAAATGTTGTTTTTGTGTTCTTCTTGAAGGAGTTTTGGGTTATTTATTACTTATGCATCAAACTTACGAAGGAACCATGTTGACTGCGGGAATATTTTATTCGCTTTTACATGAAGCGAAATTCCGTTTGCGGTCTCAAGCGGAAAAGTTGAGAAATCAAGTGCTGAAACCAGCTAAATTTTTCGGCGATTTCCTGTGTAATGTGCGGTGAACTTGTGTCGATTTCTATAAGCTTATGTATAAAAAAAGTAGAAAATAAAAGAGAACATGATGGAATCGAGATAAACTTTGAAATCCTTCGGGATTGCTGCAGATCGAGTTGATTTTTTCATTTATTGTCGGCAGTTTATTGGTTTTGCTTCTCTTTGCTCAACTTACCTCAACGTACAGCAAATTTCTTCAGTTAAACTGAAACATTTTGCTTTTTCTCTCAGCTGCACTTTATACGTGGAAAAATATGTATTATATTTGAAGTAAATTGTGAATGTTTGAGCTTCTATGTAGCTACTTGACAATAATCTCGATAATTTGCATAATCAGGTCACTGTTGTCTTGAGTAGAATTAATGTTTTCTCAGATATCTCGAATGTGATTAATAGGTTGGACTGGTCGATAAATTGTCTATTCGTAAATGCACAAGTCAGCCAAAGAATATTTTATATAAGTTGGAAAAGTGCTGAGGCATATTATGTATCAACTTATATTTTCTTGGCACGCTTCTAATCGATTTATTTGCTTACTTTGTTAATCTATTAAGTGTTTGGTTTTGATGTGCTTTCAAATTAAGCACGCTCCCCCATCTAATTAATGGCCTTTTCCAATTATTACCCCTTTAGTTGAACTTCCCAAAATAAACCACTTAATTAATGGAAAAAACGATTGCATTATTAAGAAAGCACGAGTAACTAAATATGCCGTAGACAAAGCATAAAGTCTCTAATTACAATTTTATAGCGCTCCAACCGTCGGGCTTAATGACAGTCCGCTGGGCTGAACAACAGCGTTTCAATAAACTAAATGGTAAGTGGCGGTAATAATACTCCATTATTTCGGACAGCGTAAATACAGTATTTATAAATAATAAATAACTGAATTATATTATAATTTTCCTTTGTTTAAACGGTTATTATGTTTAATAGGTAATGGCGATATCGATGCGGGCGTATAAATATGACATCATTGATGGTAAATGTAAACGATAATCTATAATGAACCATGTATAATACATGCATTTTTATGCGATTAGACGGCGTTTTAGCCGTGGAGTATTTGTAATGAGTTTCGAAGGATGTTCGAATTATCTAGGCTATTAACGTTTATTGTCGCTGTTTTGCACATGGGATAATGATGATGCCTTTCAATATAGATATTATGGCGGTTTTCATTTTCGTTTTAACATTTTTTCTGCTATAAGTGCTTAATAAAGGGGAGCTAATTTAAAACCTAATCAGTATCATGACAACAAATGTACCATCAGAGGTTACGAGAGAGAGTTTTTAGGCATGCGACTTGAATTACTTTATTGCTGTGTGCACGCTTTTTGGCTGGCTTATTGAACCAATGCGTATTTTCTTGGAAAATCAATATATGTAGTTCACATCAAATCTCTTCCTCTCACGCCAAAATTCCTCGGTCCACTTGCATCTCATTTGTTCTTCGCTTCGTGCCAATCAAAGCTATTAGGGCCAGATCAGGAAACCGGGCAGGTCATGTCAGTTTAGTTGACACAAACATTGAAGCTGACTAATTTTTTAATTTTTTATCCACTTGTTAGCTCTTGTAGTGATGTTGATTAATGTGGTGTGGGAAAGCCACTGAATTACCAAAGTTTACTGCCGACATATTGAGCGATAGTTCCCCATTTCATTTTAAACGCAGAATGCAAGTCACACACCCGATACATTACTGTTGCAATTTTTTTGGTAAGCTGGCGTGTTTAATGCTGTTATCTTTGATCAAAAACAACCTTATACTAATGCAATTTCAATTAGGACAACCACAGCGTTGCCACTAAATGAAACCGTAATATTTGCTATAATCAAGGACATAATTGAATAACCACCGAAGTGGTTAACTAGCAAACAGGACATAATTAGGCTCAATTACTGGCTGATGGCATTACAAGGTAATTTTTCCGAAAAGTTCCTCAGGGGTTGTTTTTCCTTCGCTCCCTTAATTAAGAGCTCGAGTTCGCATAAAGCCGCGAGGGCAGTTAAGGGATTTAAAGAGACCGTGGCGCTTTTTGCTCGAAATTTTGCAATGAAAACGATGCAAGAACGAGGCTGCACAGCTGGATAACCATCAACGAGATTAGTTTTGAATTTGTTCAAGTCGGAAGTTTTGCGGCGGTTTTCATTTGAATGACTTCTCAATTTCCTACAAACCCCGAAGACCGTCCGGGCGACCGCATCTTCTCCCAAACAATTAAATTACTCCAAATTATTTGAGGACGACCCGACGAGGATTGTCGACGTAATTTTCGGCATTATCGGGGGATTTCTCGATCTCTGGACGACGTTCCAGCCGTCCAATCAACAATTTCAAGCAATGGGGCTAAAAGGAACACCAGGCAATGGAGGTCTCGTGGGACACAAAGGGGTGTTAATTGGGATCATGATAATAGGTCCGTTGCGGATTAACGAAAATCGTTCTGATAAAGTTCTTTATCGCATTTATTAGGTAGCAACGGATGATTAACTCGGTAACTAGTTTCTAGCCCTGTTTCAACATGAATAGAAACTACTCCATTCAGAGGGAATGCCAATAATCCATACGGATTTGGGGTAATATAGCTTAAGCTTCTAAACGCACATTGCGTGTCCTGGCATTTATTCAGATGGATTATTATCAGGCAATACATAATTGGGAATGCTTAGGGAGTTGGGGAGCAGATTCATTGCCAAATCTATCGTTATGTGCTCTTGACGCTAATGTGTGCAAATGCTGTTCAGTGGCAGGGAAGTTTATGTACAAACACCAATTACGTTATTAACACTGTTGCACCTTTTCAGGTTCAATGATTTCCAAAATACATTTTTCTTACTGTTGAAGCCTCATTTTTTAACACCTAAAAGCACAAATATTACGTAAAAAAATGGAAATCTTTGTTCTATCTACTAATGACAACTATAATCGATTACCCATATATTCCAAAGCTCTCCTAACAAATATTGTCGGGTTCTTACTTTGTCGCTAATCCATCTTATTTGAAGATAACAGTAAGCGATTATAAGCGCAACTATTGAGACTTGTGAAATTGCTGATAAGAATATAATACAAAAGAAATTGAAACATTTTCGATCCTATTTGTGTGTTAATGTGCCTAAACCCATTTGTTATTTTCTTCATAAAAAAATTAACAACCATCGTTGCACCTTGACACTTGGATTGAAAAAAAAACATTCTTGATTCATCCATTAGCACTAATTCTAATGATTTATGGCTGTTGACTGGATTTGATTAAGCACAAAAAAGCAGTTTAGATGATCAGGCTTGAAATGACTGCTTAGAACTGAATGGAACTGTTAATCCTAAGGTGTCCAGGCAAGCTGGAATGCAAAATAGTTCTAAAAACTAGCTGATCTGTGATACAGATCAGTGGCTTGGGTCAAGTAAGATAATGTAAAACTGTTGTATTGTTCTAGGGGTTGACATTAACCCACGACCCGGCTACAAGTGACGATAGTGGTCGGGCTTCAGAAAGACTAACTGGATCCTCAGTGGTATCAGTAGCACCTCGAGAACGTGATGCTGATAGTTCCAGAGACCGATTGAGCGATGTAAGTTTACTTCCTTTCTTTCTTGCTTCAAAGGAAGTAAGCAAAAAATGTACACGTATACCGATGTATATGCAGCTTCTTAGGTCTTCAACTATTAAGCTCCAAAAACACCTTAGAATTTTTCCGGAAAAACTCAAATCGCTCCAAATGCCCCAAGTTTTATGAAACCACCCTAAACACTTTTGTGATCCGAAATAACTTAAAATTAGGGCTAATTTTGACTAGTTTTGATCTTTAGCAGAGGATATTTTCCCTAAAATAATAATCTTTATACACTTCTAAATATCTCAGACGCATATTGAGAAGCTTCTTAGTTTCCTTCGGAAAGAAAACTTTCCGTAAGTCCAAAAAAACACACGTTAAGAATTATCTTCCAACTCTGAATAACTACTCTAATTTTCTGTTTCCATTTAAATAATAAATCTCCATTACTGACTGAAACTTTTCTATTTTATTTTCCTCATTTCCCTTGGGAAACTCAAATTAAAATCCGCCATTAAAGCGAATCTGAAATTTATTTTTCATAACTAAACTATCCGACGGAAGCGGAGTCTCGAAACTTTTAAAATATTGATACTGACTTTGTGCAAACCGGGAAGAAGTTCGTCTCGTGTAGTTTTAAACTTTAAAAGCGCTTGCTCGGGGTTTTTATTATGTTTTATTTAGGATTGTTGCACTCTGTTTTCTAAGCGCTCGTTTCGTAAGCTTTACAGAAATTATCCTCAGCTATTTCACGAAAACATGATCTCGAATGTGAGTAGGACTTTAAGAGTATTTGCTTTAATTATAGGTACTTTGAAGGTAAATTTTATGAGGAAATTAAAGTGTTTTTTTTTGCTTTCAGGCAAGCAGTAGATGCAGTTCAGGGAAAGGATATATCGTAAGTAATTGTTTTTTTTTTGGGGAGAGTTTTCCCTGTTATTCTAATTTTTGGCGACATTTTATAGTGTGAAATATCGGCATTATTTGCTTTGATCTTGTAAACGGAACTTTTCCGACAATATTTTCGCAACACGACAAGCAAAAAATCATCCACATATATTCACCCCGTCGTCGGCTCTAAATCCAATAAAAAGGGAATTTTCTTTGAGGGAAGCATTACCTTTTTTCCCTTCGTGAAAACTGCAAAGAAAGCATGGGGAAAGTCTTATAAATAAAGATACATCGTCAATTTGGTCGGACAGCGTCGGGAAAACGTCCAACATAGGCGCTAGGCGGAATCTACCGATGCAAAAGCAAAGTGGAACACGAAGGATGTATTCTGAGACCATTAGGGCTATTATTTTCTTTCAAACTTCCAGCAGTGTCGTTTCGAAAGTTTCGTCGGAGTTATCTGGGTAATGAAATTTCCAAGTGGAATTATGAAAATCTAATTCGAATTTTTATACGGGAAACTTTGCCGCTTGAAAAATTGCAATTGTCCTTTTAACAGTTTAATAGTTTCTTTGTGCTGGAAATATTTTTGCATAGTTACGTAACGTTGTCAGTGGTAATCGTCCTCTTATCGTCATAAAATAATAGCATTTTCTCTTATCAAATTCCAGTAATTCTAAGTACTTCTAAACTCGGTTTAATAAATCAACAGTCTACGCCTCTGTACCATTGCCGCAAACCGCACCACTGATTAATGCTACATACTTTTCTATCTCTGCTGTCTGGTTTTTCCGGAAGTTTTTCCTCTTGGCTGACGAAAATACACTTTTAGTCTTTTCCCCATTTTAACACACAAAAAGCGAAAATAATCAAGAGAAAGCGTTGCGAGTGGTTTTTGCCTTGCGGGAGAAAAAACTGTTGGAAAACATGGGCCATTTTCCAAGAAAAGGCGAGCGGATAAATCATTTTTGTATCTTGGTGTCGTTTCTAATTGTTTCATAGTAAAGGGTTGTTTTCATTGAATTTGTTGCAGTTTCCGGGTAATTGGAAAATATTTTCATTTCTTTGAGTGAAAATCGGTTGTAACGGTTTTTTTTATTGATTAGTATTCATAATTTTTGTATTAAACATTTGGCTAATTAACGATGTGATCTGGTTATGTATTACTTTGACAGAAAGTGCAATCTAATTTTTATGTCATCATCTAAATCCCTTAATCTATAAAAATCCCTTGAATGCCGCGTTTTTAATAATCACAACATTAAAAGCGCGCAAATGCCATAAAAGAAATTTATCAGGTTGATTTACGTAAAGCCCCTTTTTTGGTGTAGAAAATTTAATTTCCCAGGTCCTCTGCTAACTTTGCATTAAACTGTATTAACCATAATTCAAAAGCGTGGGTTTTTTTCGAGCCCTAAAAGGTTTTTCTGTTGTCTTTCCCCTCGGGCGGTGGCAGTTTTGGGGAGGCTTTCGGATATAATGAGTTTTGCCTCTTTTCAGCTTTATCTCATGTGCGTAATACATTAGTCTGCTTCGCTTAAGTTTTTTCATGTTTTTCCTTAAAAGGCTTTGTAATTGGGTTATCCAATTTATCGATGTGTGCTTTTGCTTTTTTAATTCCAGTCGGCTGTAATTTATTTAGTTACATTGTTAATGAGGCAGTAATTTGATTCTGGGTATTGCTTATCTGTGTACGTGTAATTGTGTCGACAGTTGCGAATCGTTTGCAGATTTGACGACAAAATGTGATTTAAATGCTTCCTTGGGTCTTGGCTGTTTAACTTCAATGAAAAACTCGACCTAGATTTCGCCACAATAAAATACCCAGTCCCACTAAGGGAATAAGTAGTCGGATCTCGTTAAAAATTAATATTTCCCCTTTATTGTAGCCGTTCTGCTAACTAAGGATTCAAACCGTTTCGTTCCGCCGCAAATCCCTAACGCTTTGCTTTTTTTTGTATCCTAAGTGTAATTTGGAAACCTTTTTGTCGATTAAGTAACCGGGACGAGTTCTTTAGGAATCTCGAATTTGTCTCGTTGACTTTTCGCTTCTTAATTTTGTTTTTCTTTTCGGGTTATACCGACCAGGCCAGTATCTAAAGATTTAATTTGAAATTCCGCCTTTAACTATTGAATAAAATTTTTACTGAGCATCGGTTTTTATGCGATGCTCTTGAACGTTAATTTATTGAGGCAGAAAAGATTTAGAAATCCAAAAATACTTTTAAATATAGGCGTTAAAGCTCGCCATTTGAGTGAATCAAACGGTATTTAATTAAGTGTTGCGGTACTACTTAAATGGCTTTCAAAATTGGGTGAACCTTGGAATTAGTACCGCAGTCATTATGAACTGGAAGTTTTTTCGTAATTTCGACTGTTGCTTACTTTTGGCTCAGGCGTTTGTTGTCAGTTTGAATTTACACGAAATGTAATCTTAAATTAGCATTCTAGTGCAACAATGGTTGCAAATCCTGCAGGTTGTTAATCGCTCACTGAAAACAAATGTTTTTACCTTTGCTAAATCTTTTCAAGGATTAAAAAGAAGGTAAATTTTAATACTTCTCTAGTGCCAAGGTGGTTTCAATAAAACATTAGATATTAAAGCTTGAATTGAAAAATAAATATTACGCGTCGTTTTTCAAAAATATTTAGGTATGTCTTTAGATCTACTGCACTCATAAATGATAGGTACTACCTAAGTGAGGACTCTTCATGTATGTGGCGTCATTTTGCTAATATCGTTACAATGTGATTATCAGGCAAAACGTTAAAATGTCTCAAATTTTTTTAAATCATCTTATTCCTTGTTAGTAAGTACTTGCTACTCTCAACCGTTAATCTGATGGTTTTCCTTTCTTTTTCAGTGTGATAGTGAAGGAGAAGATGATAAGGTAAGTCGACAAGCTATATTTCATTTTCAAGTGGATTGTTTTGGCCATTGAATCCTTTAAGTATCCACTCGAGATTGTGTGTCGTTACCGATGATTTATGAGTGGGTTTTAATACCTACTTAAGGCGCTTGAATCAGCCACAGGTAAATTAATGTCACGAAAGTTTATATAATTGGATGATGACCGTAAAAGCTACTTTAACGTGTTTCCTATTGTCCGTGTGCCGTTGCTAAAAAACAGCGTGATTTATTATGCGCGAGAAAATGCATCTTTGCACTTCTTCACATGCTTGGAATATAAAGGGCCCTAGAATGAGTTTAAAGTAATGGAAATTCTGTTAGCTTTAATTTTGAAAGAATACGCTATACTCTTTGAATTTCAAGTGTTCCCCACGGACAAAGGAAGCGACTGGCAAACTTTTAAAAGTATTTCAGTTATTGCAAACTTTGTCTAATTGTTAACGGGGAAAAGGTGGAATCAGCAAATACTTCGATGACAAATTCGACCCTCAAAGCTCTAACTGCCAATTTATCAGACTTTATGTAAGCTGACCGGAGTGCAGAGTTTGCTTGCTTTACCATATCTCCAGTGCATTTGCATCCGATTTCATACATCTTTACTTAAATTTCACTTTGTCAGTCATGAAATATGGGCTGGTTTCCTAGCAAAAAGTTTGCATTCAAATGCATTTTATGCTTGACCAGTAAAAGGCCAATTCCAACAATCGAGGAGATTGATGATACCAATCGGGTAAATAGTCTAGGGAAATGCATTAAAATTTCCCACTTTAATGCGGTCAAATGTGAATAATGGTCCAATTTACTTAACTTGTTTGGATGTGATTGGTTGTTTAGTTAGTAGACCAAGGCATTTTCGGTAATTTTCGCAAATGTTCCATCAGTTTTGTCTTTTTGTGTTTCTGCCATGTGCACAGGGTGAGTCAGTTAGGAAGCAGGACTTTAAGGGTCAATAGGAAATATAATTTTTAGATGAAAATATCATACAAACATTTAATGAAAGCGGCTTTGTTTTTGAGATGCAGGGTGGCAAAGTAAACTTTTTATATTTTAGGACTTTATGGACCATATGGCACCAATATTTAATTTTTTAGTCATAACTTTTGAATCAGGTGAAAACGGTTGATTGAATAATTTTCCGCTTATATTTACGATATGTTAAACATTATTCTTGTTTGAAGTCGTCAACAGGAACCGTTTCGAGATTTTTTCAAAATACTAGTATATAAATCCTAATATATAAATATTTATATGCCACAGGAAAGTAACAAACTTAAAATAAACAATTTCTGATTTCAAAGTAAACTTTCAATGATTGGATAAGTCCTAGAATATAGAATTTGATTACCGTATTGTAAGATTTGCGTGAATTATTTAAAAAAATAAAATAAAATGTTACCCTTTCCACCCTGTATCTCTAAAGCGAAGGCGTCTTTAATATATGATTGTATGATATTTTCATCTTGAAATTGAATTTTCTATGGACCGTTAAAAGTCCTGCTACTATAAACGGACTCCCCCTGTATAAAGGGTGATCCAAAATTGGCGTCGTTTGTCTGGGGATGTTTGGAGAGAACAGAAAAAATAATAAAAAAATAAATTCTTTTAAAAAACGGATATATTTGCAGAAAACTCGATTTGAAGGTCGAAAAACGTGTTTTTCAAGGTAATCTGCCTCATTAACATTGCGTAAATCCTTTAGGCTTCTTAAATACAAAAAAATAACTAATCATAAATAAACATAGAAATCACCCTATATTTTTTTGGCTTGAAACATGGTTTTCAGGAAAGGATTACAACCAAGTATAGAACTATTGACGATAAACTAAGCGGCTAAAAAGACTTTTTGACGGTAAACCTTTCAGTTCGCTCGCATCACATTAAAATTTTCGTAATCTAGTCCATCAAAGACAATTTTCGTTTCGGTTCATGTTGGCCATATTTTTTTATGGCCGACACCGGCGTTAATTCAATTTGGCGATTTATGTTTCCACCACGATCTGCTAGTTCTAGAGTGAAATATTCACCCTGTCCTGTTTAGCTACCCTTGTGTGCATGTCCTGTTGGCAGGACGTGACATTTACTGTACACGTTCAGCCTTTGAGGTAATAAATTTGGAACGATGTTTCGCGATCTGTTATTTTATTCCCCATTCGACAGTTTCCATATTTTATCCATGCTTTGCGATCCATGAAAACCGGGCGAAACACAAACACGATAAACGTTTAAGAATTTAGGGTCCCGTGAGAGTTTGCAGTTTAGCTCACTTGCAACTGGGAAAGGGAATTTCGAATACTTTGAATGAATTATCGAATTTCTTTGTTTCTTTTGGCTTCAATTACAGTAATTACTTGTTTGCTCATTGTTTCATTACTATTATTATCATTATTGCGCTTTGAATTAATTGAAGCTATTTATTCCGACTTGAGCAATTATTAGTCCACTGACAACGAATAGTTCAATCAGAAATTGACGCAGGAAAAAATCAATGTAAAACGTGATGATGGCCACACCTCGAAAACGATTTCGTTCATGCCCAGTTTACAACAGGAACACAATGAAGGAAAAAAGAGCCAGAATCCGCGTGGGCCTCCACGAACATTATAATACAATTTGTATGTAAACTAAATGTGACATGTTAAATATGTCTATTAGCATACAATGAGACTTTTTATTGTTCGCGTGACAAGGACCTCTTAAAGTACACATGTCTGGGCCAACAGTAGTTATGAGTGGCTGGCATGCACAATAATTATTGTTGTAGTAGAGGCTCTTGAGGATTCAATTCCTGATAATGTGCAATCTGTTTGTTTTGGCATCAATCGTTCTAAAACGGCGCATTAGTTGAATAGTTTACATCTACAGGCAAATGTTTCATTTAATGTAATTTTCAAGAGCACGATTCATATAGTAAAAAACAGAAGCGAAAAAGAGTGAAATGCAGACTTAAAATGTTTTCATGCCTCCTGCTTCAATGTAATTCCACACAGTGTCGACAAATCTCGACTAAAGACCCCCGTTGGGAGAAACGGAGACTCCACACTGGGCGCTCAGAAGGGGGCCAAATAGGGGCGATTGCAGTTTTCCACCCTCAGTGTTGAGGGGAGGACGTGTGGCCTACTATGCTGACCACAAAAGACTTACTTTGATTTATTTTTCTAAATTTGCGCCTGAACGTGGTTAGTATTTAACGAGCATAAAAAGCTGGGAATATTTCATTTATTTACAACCCAGTTTAATGTATGATCCATGAAAGAAAAGGCCATTAGAGCTACGTTATTTATCAACTGTTAGACGCATTAAAGACGTCGTCTATTAGGCTGGTTTCTATTATCTTTTAATTGTAATTGTGGCAGATAACACAGACAATGTCGCAACTAAATGATTTAACACCGTGAGTTTAAAATTTAAAAAAGACCACTGAAAATTGACCTCCATGTCTGGGACAAGGGTAGATATAAAGTGCAATGGAAAATTTCCAGAAACGGTTTCCGGTCCAGTAGGGAATATAGCAGGTTGTTCCCTTATCGATGATATCTTATTGAAAGGCTCTCCGGATATTTGAAAAAGAAAATCCAGATATCGGAAAAGAAGTGTTCCGTTACCGCAATATTTGGAAAGGTTATATGATCACCACCTGAGGGCAATTCTGTTTGACATTCTTATAAAACAGTTGCTTCGTGAGTAAAGGAACATTTGATATCCTTGTTCCAAGTAATAAGACGGAACAGTCGCAGAAGTTTCCTGCATTATTTAGTTCGGTGGCATTTTATTTACTACGTAGATAGATTTCAGTGTATATTTTCGATTTTTGGGACACACACGGGTGTACTTATTACTCTATTTTAGTGTAAGTTTTTTTCAATAATGTACATTTCTGTTGATTCTCAATCGCATCCATACTCTTATTAAAAGAAATTCAGTAACTGGTTATTTTGCGATAGTATCTGAACCAGTTTTTTTAATTAGGGCCGATAAAGCCTTTGTTTGAAAAATTTTGAATTGAACCATCATTGCATTTGAAATGGTAAAATGGTGAAAGCTGACAAATAAATCATATTCAAACGTGTTTTATGGGTAAATCTTGTAAGAAAACTAACAAACGGAAGAAATTTTACATTAAAAAATTCCAGTAGATACTTTCGATAAAAATGTTAATTATTGTAGTCTGTGTGCAGATTGCAAAACTAGTAGAACGCACTTGAGCTTTTGCCTGTTTGATAAAAGTGCTTGAACATACTTCCAAAACCACGTTGCAATTGAGATAAAATAGGGCTAAATATCGTTTTCCCCCTTTGCTATTAAAGCTTTGGCTCATAGGAAACAACTTTCGTGACAGCTCTTGAAAATTCGCCAACAAGCCACTCGACAAGCACGGTTAAACAAAAGAAGTTGCCCAGAGAGTGAAAAACAGAAAGAGAAAGAAGTGAAGTGGTTAATATCGAAGACATTAAGTAGCTTCGTCCTCTCCAAGTGCAGCTAGATCGACTGCTAGGTGAGGGCTCTCAACATCCAACGAATGGCTAGAGTAAATGTTCTTTCAAGTGCCCTAATGGCTCGAGACGGTTTCTGAGGAAACGGCCGATATTGAGTTTTATAAATAGTGTGCAGGAATTTGATTATGTTCCTCTCGATAAATCAAAGATACCATTTTTTCTACATATGTTAGGTGGGTAGCTATTATACTCTCCAATGGTTAAAATCATGTTGATTTTTTTGCACGCTGTGTAATGGGTCGTGGTCACGAAACAGTGCGCATTCATGAAAAAAAAATGACTAGAGTTATTCTAATAACCAAGTATTCGCGACGGCTGTTGAATAATTCATAGCCCATTAAAATGCCTTAACAATACAGTTTATTGTGTGTTGTTGAATTTATTGCATTGTTGACTTCATTTATGGAAATGAGGCAAAAAGTAGGTCTTATCAAGAGCCATTTGTTTTTTTTTGCAATTTGTGTGTTAATTTATCGGCTGTAATGCG